TTAAGTCCATAAATATAGAGAGAATGCTGCCCAAGAGAAAATATGCAGGAGCTATTAGCCTGTATCTGTTTTGCTAAAAAAAATCCTTTGTCTTTAGTTCAAAGTAGAAATTCAAGTACTAAAGCATGTACATTTTGGAAATGTCTATGAGCTGTTGATCTTTCACATATGGGGAATGCCTAACTGCGCAGCAGGTATTTATTGGGGTGGCTACAACATATGATATTCTGGCAATTTACTTATCAGTAAATTCATGGTGTTGAAAGAAAATTGTAGTTTTGTGAGGACAGTGCACTACTCTTCCAGGTTTCGTTCCTCAGTGTCTAGAGCTGCCTGACTGCTGCTTCTAAGATGCAGGGAGTTTCATAAATCATGAAAATAAGTGTGCTTTTGGCAAAATACAGAGACTGTTCTGATCTTGTTTGAAATGCTTTGTGTATACTGATATTTTTATTTATTCTAGATTGTTTCAGATTTTTAAATTGAGAGGAAAATGTTTAATAAAAAACAAATACTTCAGCAAAGCTATGAAGTATAGAAGTTTAAAAAAATATAGCAGCAGAATAACCTTTAGCCAAGTATCCAGCCTGCATAGATAGGACAGATGCAAAGATGCTGAAGGGGAAACAGAAAATCTACCAATTATATTGCTCTGGGAACCCAATGTTCCAGCTATTATCTAGAGATGCTGCAGAGACTCACTGACAGCACTACACAAATTTTGTCTTACATTTAGCTGCCAGGATGCACATTTTCAGTCCAACATGAGAGAAGTTTTGCATTTCACTGGCATAGTAGAAGTTGTGTTTCAATTGTCTTTAATTACCTTGCCATCGTTTTTATTGTTATGAGATGGAATAAAAGTTCATGGCCACACACATGTAGGAGGAGACATGAATGAGGTCATACCTCCTCTGCCCATGTGAATGCAATACTCCTTCAAGGAAAATTCAGATTAAATCATTCTTAGTGTCATCAAGCATTAGAAATGAATTAAAATATAATACATGGATCACAAGCAAAGAGAGTCATGTACAAAACTGTTAAGTGTAGAGATCAAGGAAAGTCTTTACATTAACCTTCTGTTAAAAGGAAAATTTATTTAGTGCATCGGGATTTATTTTTACAAGCTCAAACTGTCACTAAAGTTTGGCCCATTTTGATCTTGGAATAGTTTGAGGATCTCAGAGACTGAGATCCAAGTTTACACATTTGTTTTGTAATTGATGAAATCTGAACCACAAACTTGACATTGTGATATTTACAGTCTAATAGGATTATGTTGTAGGTATAATCCAGCTGGGGCTGTCTTATATTGTCTGGAAGAGCTTTATACCACAAGTGGCAAGCAAAAGCATGTTGAATAAAAAAAATCCAAACAAAAGCTGTCTTCTGCAGGGCTAAATAAGGCTAATTTTATTCAAGGTTTTCCCATGGGATTAGTTTTCCACCTCTACTGGGCAGGCAGTGTCTACCTTTCTAATTTTGCAGTGTAATGTGGTGTCATCACGTGTCAGTTTGTGGTAAAGGAGGAAACGTTGGTTGAGTTTAGCAAATGTAGTGCAACCTACCATTTCAGATGGGATTATGTGTCTTTTTACTGTTTGCGTAACCCTAGACGTGAGTCACATTTTAAGATACAGTTTTTAAATATTGGAAATTCTGAGGCTTTTGTAGACTCAAGTTCCACAAGACTCTTCCTCTGAGTCGGTTCTAGAGGAATCGAAAAAGTGCCACCACTTTTTCTGAGGGGAAGGTGTTGATCTTTTGAATGTGTCCAATACAGGATGTTATTCTGGGAGAAAGAAAAATAATGATCTTTGCCACATTCAAAATTAAATTAAAGACTCGAGTTTTTCTCACAATAACCTCTTCACACTGTCACCACTTCTTGTTGCTTGTTCTAACTTTATGCACTTTCCAGCATTACTAACTTTACTGGTGGTGAGATACAGAGGGTACTGGACTCAGCTTCAACACCTGTGGGATGCTGAAATGCCGTGAGGGCAGATACTACATAAATAAGCCAGTTGATTTGTATCAGAGCTATTACTACATTTAAGGACTGTCCTGCTATTCACAGGATTGCATCATACTCCAATATTGGCTCACTCCCCTGCCTGGGAATGCCTTCTGCACAGAGAGGGGCTCCTTGGCGGACTTCTTAAATCTGCACTAAGTCAGTGAAAGATGTGCTAGTGGGATTTAGGATGAGGACTGGTCTATGACGCTGCAGAGGACCAATGTACAAAGACCCTAGTTCAAGTCTAGTCGATGTTTTACAATTTAGAGCTGAGATAAATGTGTGTGATTTGGAATGTTCAAGTTTTATGATCTCTGGATATAAATTACCATTTTTGCAAAAGTTGAAAGGTAGTACTGTGAAATGAAACACCTCTGCCAATCCAAGGAACAGTCATGTGGCAGAAACAGAGGTCTTCCATTATTCTTCCCTGTGAGTACTGGCATTTTATATAGCATGTTTTTATAAGACATTCTTCATATAACTGAGTGTACAGGTACAGATATGTTACAGTTAATAATTCAGTCACACCTCACATACACTAATGAATATTTTGCATGAGTGCCACATAATTTGATATAGCTGAGAAACGAAAATGTGGCTGAAACCTGAAAGCTGCTGAGATAGTCAGAATTGTTTCAGATGCATATGAGACTCTCTTTATTTTTCCTTTTGGGTAGAGGAATATAATGTTTTAACTGGTGAGTAAGAAACTATAAAGATCAATAATTCATGTATTACTAGCATGTATAAAAATCAACAAATTATTTTATTTTTACCATAAGTACCTGAAAGAATTTTCTGCTCTTGTCTGATTGGAAAAATGTTAATCTCAAGTTTCTGGAATGGATAAGGAACAGAAATATGTTATTGTAATGATGTACCTTCTATGATACTTGAAATTCTAAGGGAACTGTTTAAGTTGACAATTGCAGACAAATTGTGCAATACTGCAGATCAAATCTAACTTATTATGGAATGAATGGGCTGAAAATTATTACCTGAAAATTACTTATAACATTGCAACTCAGCTGATATGTGCACAGGCAATAAAGTAGTCCTAGTTCTTTTAGTCAGTGATGTACAAGTCCTAAGGATTTTAGTAAAAATAGATATTAAATGTACTTTCACAATGTTCCGTGAAGTCTCAGCTTCATCTTGAGAACAAAATGCTACATGATCACTATTTGGATTAAAAGTCATAAAGAAAATCTGAGAATTGTGAAATGCAGACCAGTGACTGGCAGCACCTGATCTTCTCTGTCTGGACTCTGGACTAATGATTGCTCTATGCTTCAAAATGTTTGCTTCAAATTTTCTGGTAAATTTTTAATCCGGTTTAAGACGGTGAGAAAGAGCATGTTTTTTCAAGCTTTCTGAAAATGAGGTGTGTTGAAAAACACCAAACTCCTCCACCTACTAAATGCATGTATACATATATTTTTTATTACTCTTCCTTCCACCGATATTTAGAAGGAATGTCCCTGTCCATTTGCTTTAAGAGATTTCGTTGACTGCCAGGACCTAGAAATTTTCAACTTGCGGCATCCTCTTTTATCTAGGGCTAAAAAAGTCAGTGAAACTTCAGTTGCGTATGCAAGAGTACTTCTTTTGACAAATTTTACAGATACACAGGTGTACACATTAGGTAGCAGAGTTGAATAGTTTTTTGACTTGAAAATAATTAACTGTTTGCATCTCTGTATTAATGTGGCATTCTTATTTGTGTTGTGTGGTAACTTGGCTGGAGTTGGCTAAAATGTGTAAGATACGAACCTGTTAGAACAGGTCCAGAGAAGGGCCACAAAAATGGCCAAAAGGCTGGAGCACCTCTCCTATGAAGACAGGCTGAGAGTTGGGGTTGTTCAGCTCAGAGAAGTGAAGGCTCCAAGAAGACCTTACTGTGGCCTTTCAGTACTTGAAGTGGACTTATAAGAAAGACAGAGAGAAACTTTTTACCAAGGCCTGTAGTGACAGGACAAGAGGTTAGAGTTTTAAACTGAGAGAGGGTAGATTTAGGTTGGATATAAGGAAGAACTTCTTTACTGTAAGGATGGTGAGACACTGGAACAGGTTGCCCAGAGAGGGTGTGGATGCTCCTCACTGGTAGTCACTAAGGTCAGATTGGACGGGGCTTTAAGCAACTCGATCTACTGAAAGATGTCCCTGATTATGGGTTGGACTAAGTGATCTTTGAAAGTCTCTTCCTATCCAAACCATTCCGTGATTCTGTGAAAATATGAATTGTAAATATAGCTGAAATACGTGTTTTTAATTAAAGCCGCTTGTTTGGGTTTTCTCTGAAGCAGGTTGCAAACACCATAATTAATTGGATTTAAAAATTAAATGCTTCAGTTGAGAAGCATAGTGATACCCATGGCATGTCCAGGTGGCTGCCTAAGGCAGGTGATAGTTTAAATGTCGTGGGCTGCGAGACATCTGCATTAGCAAAACCACAGATTAGTCGGATCTGGCTGAAAGCATGACCGGTCCTTTCAGCTGTAACTTTGTGTCATTAATACTTCACAAAATTAGTAAGGCATTTGAAGACAAGAAGTGGCACTACAGATGTGTTACATTAGCTTTTGGTCACAGTCCAGTGAGACTGATGTATATAGCCTGGTCCTTGGAGTTGTTTGTTCCGTGTCACAAAGCTGTGAAATCTGACCAAATTCAGTGCAGCCAATGGCCTCATTCCTGAGGAGATAGCTTGCAGTCTGTCACGGGGGCATGGACATTGGAGCTCCAGACTGACACCAATTAGCACTTCTTGTCAGGATATGTATGCACTCCATGCTTGTGTACCTCTAGCAGCAGTAGTATTACTTAATTGAGCCTGACGCTCTTTTACAGAGAGGCAAAACCCAATTTTTTTAGGACAGTCACATTGATGCCAAGTTCAAAGACTTCTATTTTTGTCTTAGACAGTGACCATTTGTAATGACTCTTGGATCTTTTTGTTTTTGTTTCTTTCCAGACTGGAGCAAACGGATTGAATACAAGCCTGGTTCTGGCAGTATGCCTTTGTTTCCCAGCATTCACCTAGAAACATGTGATGGGCCGGTTTCCTCAATACATACCACTATTGAATTACAGACCAATTACATTGGAAAGGGCTGCGATCGTGAAACGTACTCAGAAAAATCTCTACAGAAATTATGTGGTATGGATATGGCTTTCAGTTGATGTAATAATATTTTCCAGATAAAGCACTAGTTCCTTGTGACCATGCAATACATGGATTTAGCTCAGCTGGTTCATTTTGGATTGTAGCAAGGAAAATGAAGGGGGTGGTGATATTTGACTGGTTCTGCATTCTTTTCCATTAGTTTTCACTCTTTTTCATACCTTCTCCTTGCTTTCTTTTTTTCTCTTCTGCTCCTCTTCCCTTCTCTATTTTCTTTCTTTCCTCATTCCTCCTCTTTTTCAGTCTTTCTTCCCTCTGCTACTAATACTGGTGTGACAGTGTAGTGAGATTTCAGGTATAGATTTGCCGTCATAGGAAGACCGTAGGATTTGATGAGAATTGTATCTCCATCTTGTGTTTCAATCTTCCTGACTCAGCTTTCTGTTCTGCTGCTAAGTGCTATACCAGAGTAAAACCAAACAAAAAGTAAAGGAACATTTGGGGCAATCAGTTGAGCAAAAATATTTAAGAAACATGAATTTCAGAAAAGAGATATCCTGGTGGAGAAAGGTTTCATAATTATTTTCTTCCCTTTTCCTACTTTTTGATAACGTGGTCTAAAAGATACAACTGAATTTTGAAAGGTAGATTAAATACTTGAGGACACGGCTGTATTTTCCTGACTGTAAGATTATATGTATGGCAAAGCAATAGTCACACATTAAGCCATTTATCTTTTGCCTGTCTCTCCTCTTCCTCTAAAATCCTGTCTTCTTAGGGTCCTCATCTGAAGCCCTGATGGTGTGGCACACTGATTCTCATCTTCTCCAAAATGTCTCTTTAACTGGCTCCCGACCGAGCTACAGTAGCAAATGTACACATTTTTTTCCATTTAAATGCATGGATTTTGGTTTGTGGTGCCCTGCTGTATGGCTTACATTTGCTTTGATAACCACACAGTAGTGTTGCAGATATCTTAAGATAACCTTTAAGAAATAATTTTGTAAATGAAATTTTTCAGCCAGTGTTACTAAATTATTAAAAATGGAACACCAATTCCCAGGGAAAAATAGTTTGCAGTTACAATGACCAATTACCTGTGGAGATTGGGAAAGTGAGGTAAAGGTGAGCAGAAGTAGTAGCATTCTTACAAAATCTGAACATTTTCAATCTGAGAATTACTTAGTTAAGGTTACAGAAACAATCATAATTTTAATCCTGTGCCTTTATCCAACTGACTGGGGTCCTAGAAAGGCAGGAGAAAACCCATCTGCCAACAGCATGCATCTTCATCACATTCATGACATTAATACTGAGAGGTTGAGCAAGGCTATGTGACCTATCAGGGACTAGATGTCATAAAATACTAGTGTTTTAATAAAAATAAATGTGCTACAGCTAAATTCAAGTACTTTTGCCTCCTCTAACAGCCTGTATTGGCAGCAAAAACATTGATTCATGCTTGTTCCAGACCTGAACTGCAGATGGCACAATCATTCAGAGCAGATCACTACGTACAAGATATAAACCACCAAACGATTACGTTGACATAAAGCACTAATAGCAACTATATCCAACATTATTATAATTTTAAGTGTAGGACCAAAATTAGGAACCTTCTGCTGGTTTAAATTCCTTAGTTGAGGAAGGTTGTGCGAAGTCTCAGGGGCTCAGTTGGCAGAGTCTGGCTTCACTACCTTACCTGCTGACACTTAAGCAGTAGAAAAGAGAATTTCAAGTCTTTCTCTTTTCCTTCTGAATAAACTAGATGTTTCCCCATACTAGTCCAATCTTAATTAATTACCTGCACCATGTGTAGGCCTAAACTGGTGAAAAGCAGAAGGATCATAAACATTTCAGCAGGTCCGTCGATGCCATTGTAGTAGTTGCAGGCAGCCTTTGAGCAGGTGGACAGATGTACTGTCTAACATTATTGCTGAACTTCCAGTTTTTACTCAGCACATACGTGAAGGAACAGAGCACTTGAGAAAACAGGTAAAATGTAAAAAGTATATGTAAATGAGAGGAAAAATTCTCACTGCTGAAAATATTTTTTTTGTCCAAGGTTTCCATATCTTCATAGAGGAGAAGAGGTAGGGTAGAAACTTCTAATAGGACTTTGATAAAAAGTTTATAAATGAAAATGAACTTTACATAAGTGTTGCCTTTAGACTAGCTTACACTTTGGTATTTAGTATGTATTACCACCCTTAAGGTAGAGAGAACTCTTATGAAAGCAAGTTAAATTATTTCTGGAAATAAGTTTTTTCCCAGAAATGACCTTATTGTATCTAATTGTTGGATAAATAAATTATTTGAAAAGGAAGAAAACCCTATATATATTTTTTCTACCAGTAAAGCACTGTGCGATTGCGGAGTGCAGAACTGAGCGATCACAGATTCATCTGTGCCGTATAAAATGCAAGATTCTTTCTCTGAAATTAAGGACCCAGTTTATAAATCCTGTGCTTATTTCTTCATTTATCTGTTGGAAATCTAGAGAATTCAGATGCTAAGCATAGTGCATTAAAATTCATTTTTTATATTACCAATGGTTTAAATCTGCCTTTCAATAACCCAGTGATTTGCACTCACTTTGACGGTCAAGGTGGGCAGTTTAAATGATTAAATTATGCTTGAGTCATTTTAAAGTCAAGGAGTTATTAGTGTTGTGCCTCAAAGCATTTTAGTAAGCATTTTTTCACCTTGTCATCTGACAATAATAAAAAATAAAGAATGTGTGAAAGACACCATTTGTACTGCAAAAACATATTCAGAATAAATCTCACTAAAAAAATAATCAGTTAAGGGGCCTAGAATATGGTGGAAATATGACTACGGTGCTGTCTTCTTTCCCTCTAAGCATAGATAAAATAGAAAATAATGGGATTACTCATTCTTACATGGCAGATAGGAAACTGAAATATGGAAACACTGTGTATCAGATTCAAGGCCATGCTCCAGCTAAGAGGGTAGATTCTGCCCTCCCTCCCTTATTCTGGGTTGTGCAGCTTCGCAGGAGGCTCAAACAAAGTTTTTGATCTGATTTGGGTTTGGTTTGATTTGGACGGCTAGCTTCCAGCTAAGCCAACAGTCCGGTCCGATTCAGCAGGCAGCATCAGCATGTGCTTAACCTGGCACAAAGTTTGCAGCGTGAACATGAAGGGTGGGCCCAACACTGTAAGTTGCTTGTGAGAAGAAGCACTTCAGTATCGGGGGCTCCGTCCAACAACTGTGCTGAATGCAGTGGCTCCTGCATTATTCTGGGAGCATTTTAGAAGAAAAGGGCATCAACCCCTACATTTTGGAAGGGCACTGAGCCAGTAGCATGACAAGACTGTTCTGGGAACACCTCCAGATACATCCCATGTGTATTGCTCCAGGTCTGTGTATGTATGTGGCTGAGCAGCTTGGGATGCTGGTTGGATTCATGAGGGTCGAAACAGTATGATTTCTTCTGGCTAAATCTCCCAAACGCATAATCCAATAGTTGCTCTCAGGGCAGGATTAACACATGCTAACAGGACTGAGGCTCCAAAGTAACCCACAAATCTCCATAAAAAGATTGGCAGATAAAGTAGAACCAGTTGTTAAGATGTAAGAAAACACAGAGCTGTAAATAATTGTGCTATTTTATCAGATCTTGGCACCACAGTGTTTTCCATTTCTGTTTTGTTTGGTTAGTTGGTTTTGGTTTTTTTCCCAATTAATTCTAACAAACTGTGTAGCTAGGAACCACTTTGCTAATGATATACTTTTGGGTTGGGGAGGTGGCTAATCTGAATTATGAGTACCACTTAAAAGTCTTAGATCTATCACTAGACAAGAACACACAGAGTTACAACCATCACATATCTGCCAGAAGACAGCATTAAAGTGATATTATCTGTTTTATGGTGAATACTCTGTATGTATTGATATTCATACCAACATTATTATGAATGTCCATGGGTGTCTGCTGGACATTAGGAGACTTGTCTTACATTTATCCCCACCGTAATGTATTTTGCAACACATCATGCCCACGTACCATAATCTCCACGCTGTCAGGGAAGGAAGATGTAAAGCTTCCCAGCTGGATGTAGAGAATTTGGGTTTAGTCTCAGCAGTTTTAGTCATAGCAGTTCTTGAAATAACTGAAGAAATGTCATTAATGAATTTTAGAAAATAATGAGAATTTTCAAGAGAGATGCTTTCTGTAATTTTCTGTGCAATACATTTAATCTAGAGAACTCTTACTGGTTTACTATGGTCGGTATTGTATAACGTGTATATGATTTGACAGTGAAGTTAGTAGGACCATTTGGCTAGTAAAAATAATCTAAAGTGTGAATCAGACCCCTGGCCTATACTAAATTAATCTTCGCAGCTTTTTCATTAGTCTCTCATCATGTTATTCGTTATATATCATTTGCAGGAGCTTCCTCAGGTGCCATTGACCTGTTACCATCTCCCAGTGCAACAACTAACTGGACAGCTGGGCTTCTCATGGATAACAATGACATGATTTTTAAATTTGATGGAAAGCAAGGAGCCAAAATCCCAGATGGAATAGTCCCAAAGAATTTAACTGATCAATTCACCATCACTCTGTGGATGAAACATGGACCTAGTCCAGGATTAAGAGCTGAGAAAGAGACTATTCTCTGCAACTCTGACAAGACAGGTGAGTCTGTGTATTGAAAAAATGTTTGGCATAGGGCATAAGAAAGTTAGTAGAATGTTACCATCTCTCCTCAGTTAATTTGGTCTGGAAAAAAAGTTACTGAACTGAGATGGTGCCACTCTAAGCATTGCTGACTTGATAGCTTATCGAGGGGACTGGTATCTAACTAAGTTTCAAGCACTGGTTCTCTTCTCAGATAGTGTCTCTGAACACATCTGTAGGAATTTACAGGAACTGGTTGATAAAATAAGTAAATTAGGTTTATTTTTTTATTATTTAGATTGGAAAAACAGTTCTAATTCTTCATTGAAACTGAATTGATTTGAATTTTATTTATTAGTTTGGACATAATACTTCCATAAACAAGACTAATATGGTGCAATTCAGGAAGATGCTTACCATATGTGGCTTCCCGGAGTACCACAATGATCCATGATGTTGGGGTTTTTTATTTGGATGCGTTTTGTCTTTTAGGTGTATATTGCTTTCAAACGCATTCACCTTAACAGAAATCTCGATGATAATTCAGATCACTGATCTTATTGGTCCCTCCTTTCAGAGATGAACCGTCATCACTATGCCCTCTACGTGCACAACTGCCGATTAGTATTTCTGTTGCGCAAAGACTTTGATCAGGCTGACACCTTTCGTCCTGCGGAGTTCCACTGGAAACTGGATCAGGTACCCATGGTTTCCTCTTATCTGTAACCCATCCTTCTCTTCATCCCCTTTAGATATCATAGAGAACAACCCAAATCCTAGAATAACTGCTTTGGGAAATCAGAAGTCTATTACAATTATGTTGCAACTTGTAACTGTTATGACTCTAATGGGGATCCACATAAAAAAGGATTGATTGGTTAACTTGGTTGAGTCATTTAATACAGTAGGGTTTTTTAATTGAGTCATTTTAAACAGTAAGTAGAGGTTTATATCCTTTGGCAATGGATAGAGACATGACATTTTGTGTAGTTCCCTAAAAGTTTTCCGTTTATCATTAAAAAAAAATCTACTTTATCAGCACAAAGGAAGTGATGGAAACCTTTTCAAGAAAGACTATGCTGACACACAGAAAGGCATTTGTGATATATTGTAAATCTAATCTGTAGACTTTCATCTGCTGTGCTGTATGTAATTTCTCCTTATTATGAAGAGTATATCACAAGGAAATTATTATTAAAGAGATAGGAGTTGCTTTTCATAGATTTATTAATTCTAAGCAGGATAAGGATCATTTGGGTGAAAGAAGACAGACTTCAGCAAAGTAGCATTTTCTCACAGCAAGTTTCTTCATGTTTTTGAGTCCAAACTATGATATTGAAGATGTAGATAAAGGAATGGTTACTTTCCCAATTCACCTTCAAAATGCGTATGAAAAGATGATCTTTGTCGTGATTATCAGTTTGATGTGTGAGAAACCATGTGATGATCATAGCACTTGTTTTTCATTTCCATTAACCAGTTTGGAACCAGTTTGTGCTGTACTTGATATGAAATCTTACAGTGTCTAGAAAGGGGTAAATTTACATGAAATCATATTGAAGATTACAAGTCATGAGTAACTGGTGTCACCTCAGATAATACTGTTCTGAGTGCTGAAGATGGATTTGTATTTCTAAACTGTATACTAAGCATCCAAATTAATGATCATATGAAGTTTATATAAAGTATTTTGACTTTGAAAGTTGAATGCAATCAACTTCTCTATCTTTGCAATGAGAAAGGACCAATCTCTTCCAAATAAATGAAATTTGTGTGTAACTCTTGTAACTTAGCCATGACAAAATACTGGGAAAATGTACTATCAAAGATAATTTTCCATTGACAGGGGATTTGATTGTGTGAAAGAACTTTTCATCTCTATTGCCATCTACAATTACTTTATTCTTACTCTACTTTCTCCACATCATTTCCATACTTTTAAAAAAACAGACAGGATACATGGCATAAACTGGGAAGTACAGGAATGCTAACATCTTTCGATTATTTTTTTTTCTTTCTTATATCATAAAAAAGACAGTGTATCTGAACTCTTGGTTTTCATATCAAGGAAATTTTTGTGGGTGATTAGCCTTGCATTTGATTAGCATCCATGTTATTGATGAGCAACAAATACTCTGTATTTCTAGTTTGACAGTATTTTTTCCTTGCAGAAAATGCTGCTCATCTCAGAAATCTGCTTCTGAATGGTCTGTTGATTTGTGAGATCTGAATGAATTTGAGGGTGCATTGTTTCAAAACAACATGCTGAGAATGTGTGTATCTAACTCGTTAAGTACAAGTGATATTTTTTCTCTAACAAGGGATAAAGAACACGTTGGGCAAGTCTACAGATTTTGTTTGAAATTAGTAAACCTAGGGGAGTTGCACCAGCACACACACAACTTCTCACATCTTCAGCTGACTTTTAAGTAGAATCCCAAATATCTGGTGACAGGAACTCATTGTTTGTGATGTAAGTCCTAGAGGAACCCAAAGATTTCAGCTAGGGATGACTGAGTAAGTCCTTGGAGATATTTTGAGATTCAATCAATTGTACTCTGAGTTATATTTCTGGAGAGAATTTCTTTTATTGAAGCCATCTCAGCTACAGAATATACTAAAGGCAATCCAAAGTAGCACTTGACACATTAACTCTTTTAATTTCAACTGTTTGGTTCTGTTTTTCGTTGTCTGCCGATAATCATTTGTGTAATCTAAAATATGCTCCCAAATTGTAGCACAACAGAAAAGTTGAGCTGCAGTTGGGCACTGAAGGCAGCACCTTCCTAACTACTATTGAAAACTCCTACATCATGGAAACTAGAGATAGAAAAGATTTTCTAGGTCACATCATTAATTTTCTTTCATTCAGCTACTGTCAGTTGATTTCCACAGTCTATTTTCAATGCTCTTTCTAGCTGAAAAAGAAGGTAAGATTAAAGTATAAATAAAGTTTGTTATGGGTTGTGTGACCAGACTTCCATGATGATTAATTTGTACTGTCAGGGTGATCCTGTTTTAAGTTTTTTCATTAAGGGACCTGGTAAAGATTGGTGCTTTACCTCTTCTTCAATACTTCATCTGGCCTATACAGTAGACAAGATTGAAAGAAATTGAAAATAAAACACGTGAATAGTGGGCTAGTAAGGAACTTGCATGGTTTTGAAGACAAGACAGGCAGAAACTTTCATTTCAAAGTAGTAAAATTATTCCAGCTTCTAACTATCTATCTATAATGGTCTACCTTAGAAAGCACAGGATATTTTAAAACCACATCAAAAAGCAAGTTAGCATCCCACTACAAACTCCTCTGGATCTCAATATGAAAAGAAACTAGGGCTAGATTTTCAACTGGAGATAGAGTGCTCTAGACACTTCTGAAAATCCTACCAGGTGATTATTTGCACATTTAGATACTGAGGTACCTCTGGAAATCTTTAACACTCAGAAATGCTCATTCTGTAATGGCATAGCCTCAGATTCCTTGTTTTTTTAAGAAAAGAATGGGAATTAAGCTGTATCTAACTGTTTTACAGTTTCTCACCGTCTGCACTGCACAGTGATATGGGATGCTGTAGATGGCATTGCATGTATGACTCTGGAAGATGGTTCAAAGGTTGGCACATAGTAGAGTAAAATATGGCAGAGTACTTTATTGCTGAGCTCGCTTTATGATTGTGACAATCCATAGCTTGTTTTAGCTGAGAGGAATCCGGTGACCTTGGAATAGGGTGAAGCATAAACTAGTGAAATCATTTATCATTCTTACTGCAGAGTAGTAAAATTTATTATACCAGCTGCTTTGGGCTCTACCTAGTCCACAAGACTACTTACTCACTCTTTCAAGGCACTGACTAAGAATGTGAGCTTATTGTCATTCCAATTTAATTTAATTCTGTAGATCTTGTTTCTGTGGTGGGTGAGTGTGGCACACATCTTAGTTGCAGACTGTTCTTGACAGGATTCATGTAACATTTTATACATACATTTTATACATACATACATTTTATACATACAAGGATTCATGTAACATTTTATATAGCTCCACCTGAGCAGTGCATCTGAAGCCTCGTGGTACAACGCAGCCATCATAACTGTCATGCATAGTGAGTGTCTGAAACCTCCATATTGTAGTGGCTGCCCGGTTAGCTCAGGGAAGATTGTGCCTATAAGCTAGTTCATAGACCTAAGGATTTATTTTCAATATGGTTTTCAGTGTATTTAGCCCTATTTGTTACATTAAAATTAATAGATTTTGCTAGGCTATTTTTAGTTCCTTACTGTGCTGAGGATGGACAACCTGAGAGTGCCATAACCCTGGGCATATGTGCCTTTAGTATTGAACTGCTAACATTCATGAGATGAGTATGTCTGCAAAAAGTGCTAATAATCAGAGGTAACAGACTTTAAACCGAAGGTATCCTTCTTACTGATAAGAAACAGAGGAAAAAAATTGGTATAGTTTGGGTTTTTCCCCCACTTTCATCCTTTTGGAAATTAACTGCCTTAGTTGTGAGAGAATCCATTAGTAGTAATCTGGAAGAAAAGCTGTGGAAAGAACCACATTAAAGAAAATCAGTGTCAAGTCTCTAATGCATGCACAGTAATAAAAACTGCATGGTTTTCCCAAACAACTGCACTAGATGCCCGATTAGAGGTGGTTCGTTCCTTTTACTTATTCCCATTTCCTTGGAAGTACAAGTGTTTCCATTGTTTCAGAATCATGACCTTTTTTTCTGAGTTTCCCATGCAAAGGTTTAAATTGAGTATCATGATGTGTTTGTCAGCTTTTTTATCATTCATTTTCTCATACTTAACTATGAGACACTCTTTAAACCTGAGCACCTACTGCAAAAAGTTTTGTTGCCAAAGTCAGTAAGAGGCACCGAAATCATCACCTAATTGTCTCAAATGGATAGGAACATAGATGTGGTTTTACGTCAATGATTTAGGCAGCCAAATATAAATTTGGGCCATTTAAAAATAAAATTACTTATAAAAACTGTTTCTTTGGTTTTCTTAGAAAACTGTGATGATTTATGTTGGGGTTCCCTTCTATTGGGATGCTCATACACCTGTATGCTCACCTTATGGAAGTATGACTGGTTTTAAGAAAGTGATCGGATTGTACAGCCTCCTCTTGCACACGGGGAATGACTGCATATGGGATGGGTGCTGTAAGGGCCTGAGCTTTCTGAGCTCCGTACAGCACAAAAGTAGCCTTGGAGACTTGGGAGTTGGTGAACTTCTTAACTTACATTTCTGATCATGTTTCCCTTCAGCTGCTGGTGCTATGTTGAGCCTCGTCAAATTCCTTGATGCAAAAATACCAGCATCACAAAACAGATCAGTTTATAATGAGATTATCTATATTAGAAGTGGAGTTGAAATCAATGGGAAATGTTCATTGATTTTAACAAGGGTAGGATTTCACCCGAGAAATGTTAAAAAAAAATAAAAAATCAAGCCTTCTCACTGCATTTTCTTTCAATGCAAAGATATTTTCAAAAGCACTTCAGGGAGTTCTGTTAGCTACTCAGTTGTAAAGGCTCGAACTAGTGCCCCTTCCTTTCATTGTCATCTGCAGGAAAAAAACTCTTTTGATCCTCAGATTTCTGCTATAAGAAGTGGCAATTCTTGTGTGTTCCCCATTTCTGGTTAATGTAGTGAGAACTCTTCCCCTCAATTTCTGTCCATTT